GGACGCAAGTGTTTCACGGATCACAATTAGAAAAAACCTTGGTCTAATAGGACCACTCCAATTGTAATAAAATAGTGAGCAAGTCTTTGAATTCTCCAGAATCTGAGTCTTAATAAAGGTATTTCCACACTATAGAAAGTTGACTATGTGTGTGTGTGTTATGGGCAAAATGATTGCTTTTTATTTCTACACAGAGTGACATTAGCTTCCATATTCAACTTCTAGACAAAGTTGGCATGTGTAATTCTGTAGATACATTACTATTCCCCAAAATTTGTCTGCAGGGCCAAAGATTTCCCACTTCTAGGTTAGACAGTTTTGAAGAGAGAGAGCTGGTTATTAGCTATAATAACTAAAAATAGAACCCACGTCATCAGAATCAGTGCAATTTACATTATTAGTTGTTGGGGATAAAATAAAGAGGTTGCTTCTCACCTTCGCTCTCTCTCTCTCTTTATGAATTTCATCATAGTCTATGGTTAGCCAGTTTTGAAAATGAAATACTACAGGAGAATTCTGGCTTGACCTAATAAGTTTAGGCTGTTATCCTATCCCCATTCGCAAAGAGTCTCACTGAATCAGTGAAACCTATTTCTGAGCCAGCACCTAAAATATTCCATTAGTCAAATAATGTGGAGGCAAGCACCTCTTCAAGAATGGCATTTACTTTATTTGCATGGCACTTTCTTGAGAAGGGAAAGTGCAATCTGTGGGAGAGGTGGAAATGGTGTGAGGGAGGGAAGAATATCCAACTTCTATAGGTATATTTGAATAGGCTCTCTAAAGCATTCATTAAATTCTTAGGGATATGTTTTTCAAACGTCCCCTTCTTTCAGCCCATGCCTTTTGGACCATCAGCTTCTTTGTTTTGCTTTCTCGGAAATTACCATAGCTATTAGATTCTATTTTTCAGATATGTACTCTTATATGAATACATGTTTGGGATTTTACATATTGCACCCGAGCCTTCTCTTGCTATATTTATATGCAGTGCTGGTCTAATAATGTTCTCTGCATATAGCATTACAGATTTCTTTGAGGTTTACTCGACATAGATGTTGCATTCCATAATATTTTGGGATATTCTAAGCCTGGGCTGGTTTGGCAATCACACTTCATTGACGTGTGTCTCTCTTTCTTGCTGCCCCTATGGAAGCGAAGTTTTCCGCTCCTGCAGAAAGCAAAGTTACGGTAGGAACCATGTTGTTTTCCTAATTTGTCATTTTATAGTATTTTATTATGTTTTGAATGCATTCTTTGGAATATGTGGAGAGGAAGATTCTTATGCTATGATAATATACTGTTTATATAAACATAATATAGCCAACCTTTTTGGCATCAATTCCTCATTAAATTTTTTCATTATTTAAGGTTGATGATTCTATCAGCAACAGAGATGAATGAATGTTATGTTTGCATGATACTCTTAATTGCAAAGTAAGCAACTACATTTTTATTTAGTGTATTATGCAAATCCAGCTCACATAGGTTGTTCATGGTTCCACGTGAATGCTTGGTTGTATAAGCCATGGGTAAGCAGCTTGTGCAAATGCAGCCAGTAAGGCCAAAGTATGTGGCATACTTTTAAACTTCTTTTATCAACAAAATTCAGGTTTTGAGAGGAAAAGATTGATGGAACAACTTGACACATATTTTTTCTTCCAATTCTTTGTTATATGTATCATAAATGTTCAGTTCTTGATCTGATTACTATTTACTTCTGTGGCTTCTGAGCAATCATCTGCCACCTTCCCTATCAGTTATTTAAACTTTCCCATTGTGAATTCTCCTTGCTCAGTAAAAACACAGTGAAAGGCTGCAATTGCCAGAAAAATGTAAGTATTGTGTAAAAAAGGGATACCGGGACATTGCTGCTTACTCAGCTGCATATGTTTTTTAACTTTAAAGTTCAATACTTTAATAATTCTTCTGGCTCTTCTCTGGAAATCTGCAGTAGTCTTTTTCCCCCCGAACTTGAACTTGGAAAGGAAATGCTTTTAGAATGCACTGAATCTCCTTCGATAACCTTCTAGATTTTTTGAGAGGGAGAGGAGGATTAAATCAACAAGAATGGCATTATATAATAGCTATATGGTTCAATTTTGACAAAGCCCCTTATAAGGGCTTCTGAACAAATTCAGGATAGGGGACAGGAGTTTTTATGTATTGGTTACTGAAAGCACTGAGTAGCATTAAATGGATAACTTTCAAAGTGGAAAAACATTCAAAGTGGAATTTGTCTGGAATTAGAGTTGGGATCCTTACTTTTTAGTTTGTGTAGAAACAAATTAGGAATCAACAGTGAGCTGCGAAGAGGCTAGATTTGCTCTTCATATAAAACAGTTCAGGGTGATAAAATCAATGGGGGATTCTGAGACTCCAAAAATATCTCTCTAACTGGGTTAATAGCTGTCAAAGTAGCAAATGCAATTTAGTCCAAGCAAGTATCAAGAGAAGTGTGTTACCCCACCTCCCAAATTATTGCCACATACACATATATTAATACAATTGACATGCACTGATCAAGAAAGGGGTCCCAAAATCAGGACTGGTAGGTCACTGAAAACGTGGTACATAATCACTGAAAAGAACTGCAGTTATTAAGGAAATGGAAAACAAAACAACAAATACACTCTTTTACCTTGCTAGTCATGCCATACCATAAAGAACAGTGGAGGACAGCTACTCCCTTCCTGTGCTTCTTTGTGTTCATCTGGTGGATTGCAACATGTGACACAGCATGCCGCTAGACTGATAATTGACCGGATCCCACCAGGGTTTTTTATGGACTTATGTTTTCTGAAATTGCTGCTTACCTAAAGAACAAGCTATATGTTCTGGGCCATTTTCCTCTGACCTTTTTATGCAATTGAAAAAGATATCACAAAAGAGACAAATGAAATGGAGGAAAATTGATTGGAGAGAACATCATCCAATTCCTGCTCCTTATTTTTCTATCCCTGAAACAAAACAAACCCAAAAATCATTGCATGGGGGAAAAAGCGTATGACTCTTCTTTTTCTCGATCCTCTGATATGGAGTTAAGAACTTTGGTGTGGATCTGAACTGAAAAACAGCAGGGAAAACTGTCTTTTAAATCGTCTGCTGGTCCTCTGATTCAGTTTATTCCAGACGTGAGATGTTATGCAATCTCTAGTCTGGACCACAGTAGCTCCGACCTTGTGAAAAACCTTTAAAAGGTAATGATTTGGATCTGAACAGAGGCAGGAAGAAAGGAAATGACTAAGCCTTCTCTTGCTAGAGATTTCCTTCTAATAACTTTCTTCCTGCTGCTTTTGGTATTTTAAATTTTGGTTTGATGTGCACACACGGTTTTGGAATTCTGGAAGAGATGTGCGTCACACACTTTCTTCTGAGGATACTTGCCAAGGAGAGAGGACCTCTGCGCTTCTTGCAGTTTAATTTTCTAGTTTCACTCCCTAGTCAAACATCCTAGCAGGGGACAAGTTGTTGAGAGTTGGAAGCATGAACTGTAAGACCACCATTCGTGTTGTAAGCCCCTTTCCCTCTTTATGGAGAATGCCAAGGTGGTTGTTCACCAACATGTTTCAAAATGGGCAAATTTAAAATAAAAATGGAAATGCCACAGTGAAAAGAGCAGAGGTCAACTCCTGGTTGGGTGCATGGAGATGAAAAGTATTGCACCTACCGTCTTTCCCTCATTAAGGAAGATCATCTGAGGAAGAAGCGGACATGGAACATTTACAAATGGAAAATGATGCCATTTTCTCCCTTCTAAAAAAAGCCTTTCTGGAGGCAGTTTTGGATTTTCCAAATCAGATCCTGGGTGCTAAGCTACCTGACAACTATTTTATATGGGGGTTTGTTTCCCAGAACGACTTTCCTTTCTGATGCTACTCAATAATTCATTAATACTCTTAGAGAAAATAGAAAAGACACTCAAAATAAATAATATGAATGTTCGTTTATAATAATGAAAAACAATTATATATAATTGGCCTTGAAAATGTGTCTTCCCTACATAAAATCAATAAAGGAGACAATTTAATTCAATTAATGTTGATTGCTAATTCTTAATTGAACATTCTCCATACGTTTGGACATTTTTGTCAGCTTCCCAATATTTAGCTAGACATTTTTTATAAAGACAAACATTTTTGCTGCCAACATTTCAGCTGTGACCACTAGATTCCAAAATAGTTTTAGTTGAGCTTGTTGGATTGATATTAGAATTTCCGAGCAGAATTAAGATGAGAAATTATGGGATAATTTAACATTAATCCTATAACAACTAAGAAGAAGCTTGCCACCAAAGGTCTTTTATCATTGGCAGTATACTGTAAATGAAAAAAAAAAATCACTTTGCAATAATCTCCATCTATCTGTCCTTATATCTATGTCTGTATATCTGTCTATTTTCAGGTATTCATACTTGTTTAAAACAGCCTTTTACACATCATAAATATCATATGCTTTCTGAAAATGGTCTATTGGATGCTTTTTCCCCATCCAAGCAAGCAAGAATTTCTATCTTTTATTCCATGCTTGTTTATATATATGTATGTGTGTTTGTGTGTATGTGTATCATGTGCATATGTATATGTATATCTATCTAATTTATATTAAATGTTTTGTATGCCGTCTTAATCAAAAGCTGGCCACCTGAAAACTGTTACCATTGAAATCCTAAATTAATTATTTAAAAGAATCCTGTAAGCAAAAAAGCGTTACAAAATCTAAGAATTATGATTTGCCAGCAGATGCTTGGATCTTTCAAATTAATTTTTGTCATACATATTTCACTTATTTGCAGAGTTAGAAATTTGCCTTATCCTTTCATTTTTCCAGGTGCTAAAAGATGGACTTTCAAAATCTTATCAAGAATATCTGAGCCAAATGAACTCTCTTTATAGCTGTTTTGCCTAGTTCTGATAAATCTGATTGAGCACCCAGGTTAAAGACATGCACCAACTTCCCCATTAAGGTTCTCTATTCACCTTGTTCTTTCTCTTGCTTAGACTCGGAGCCGGGAGAAGATGATGCCAGCAGTACACAGGTGACCCAACGCAGCCATCTACAGGATGAGACGACTTACAGCTCCCCTACAGGTGAGCAGAAGCCAGGCAGGGAGTTGCAAAGTATTATGAGCAGAACTGAAAGTATATCTGAACCCCCTGAAGACATTTGTGCTGATGTCCCAGGCTGCCTGCCACTGTAATTCCAGCCTGCAACTTCCCTTGTTATTGTTCCCTTATGATTTGCATAACAGTTTTGATGTGATTCCCACCTCAAAATGAAGTGAGACACTGACACTTATTTTCATCAGTTACAATCACACACAAAAAAAGGGGTTACAGTTCTGTAGGCAGCTCTGGGAATCTCTGGTTTCCATCCAAATTTCCATTCCTTGTCTAAAATCTTTTTCTTGAACTCCTGGGAGATGGAACCTTACATAGATATTACAGGCTACACAGTGTCTATACAGAGAAACCATACATATTTGACTTGTCCACCACAGGCAAAAAGGATGTGAAAACTATTTTATTCTGACCTATTTTTGTCCCTAGTATCTGGGTTTCTTTGACCATGAGCCTCTGTTCAGCCTCTTGCTGGTCACTAATGAGAGTTACTGCTTCCCTGTGAGACTACTCGCTTGGTAACATCTTCCCTCAGAGCCAGGGCATACTGACCATACAGAACTTTAATAAATAAGGTGATTTTATATCAAACCATATGGAAACGGTCTATCTAGACCCTCTCCAGTCGGGCTTCAGGCCGGGATACAGCACGGAAACGGCATTGGTCACGTTGGTAAATGATCTCTGGAGGGCCCGGGACAGGGGTTATTCCTCTGTCCTTGTTCTTTTGGACCTCTCAGCAGCTTTTGATACTGTGGACCACAGTATCATGCTGCGGCGGTTGGGTG